TGGATTTTCTAGTTCGAATCTCTCAAACTATAAGAACGAACCTCCGAACGTTCTTTTACAAAATATTCTAAGTATCACTCTTTTTACTCCCGAAAGAAAAGAAAATAACTAAACAAAAGATATCAAAAGTCGTCCTCAACTTTGGTCTCGTCCTCCTTTTATCTTCAGCATTCTTTTTGGAAAATCTTCTCATCCAAGGCAAATGCATATAAGGAATGATACTCTCGCGATTCTCCTTTTACAATTATGGAAGGTGAATTTTTTGATTCTTCTTTTCTTTAGAATATGGAAAGCGTATCTCCCCCTCAATCCCAAGGTCATGCCATAATAAAACGTACATAATCAGTCCTGTGAATTTAATTAAAATTAAGACTTATTCATACCAAAAATAAACTTCCCTTAAATACTTCCGTAAATTTCTTGTCTCTGCGAACATCAGAAGGTTCATCGATTTACTGCCAATCTTCAGTACTTTCAATCTCCCCCTTTGGCAGATAAATCGAAAACCATGAACCTGCAAAGATGAAACAAATAGAAAAAACTGCAGAATACACAACTTCCTAACAATACTAATATCACACATGTGTTGTTCTAAGGAACAACTTCAAATACCTGAATATCAGCACATTAGTTCACAAAATGTCCCACAAAAGTTCATCAAACGCAAGTTAATAAAGCATAAGAAAAGAAGTTCAGGCAAAACACACAAAACAGAGTTTTTAACAAGAGACAAATGAAAGTCCTGCTGGGAGATAGCTATGCAGATTCTTCCTCGTCAGATTCTTCCCCAGAACCTTCTTCAGCACCATCCTCAGTCCCTTCCTCTGATCTTGCCTCCTCTTCCTCATCCTCGGTATCAGATCCAGCTTCTTCATCCTCTCCTTATTCTGAACCTTCATCTTCTTCCACAACCTTTTCCTTTCCTTTGTCCTTAGCAGCAACAATCTTCTCTTTACCTTTTTCCTTTGCAGCAGCAGCAACAGCCTCCTTTGACTTCTTTTCTTCAGTAGACCCGGTCTTCTTCTCCCCCTTGGCAAGAGCTTTCTTCTCCCCCTTAGAAAGAGCTTTCTTCTTTGCAGCAACAACATCCTTCTTTTTCTCCCCCTTTTTCGATTTATAGACCAACGGAGCACGAGACTTCAAAGCACCCAGAACCTCCTTGTAGTACCTTCTCTGATCAGCCAACTTCTTTTCAAGCCCCGCGAAAACTGCCACTTGATGATTTAAAAATCCGCGAAGCTGTGAAGGTACATCAGAGGCCATAACAAGAGAAGGACGAGGCAGAGCAACCTTAACACCGGCAAGGGCAAGAGGTTTGTTAACAGGGGCATAACTATCACCAAGTCGAGGATCCATTTTCACCCCAACCTTAAAGAGAATAGCACATATGGTAGATGGATACAACATCAACTTATGAGGCTTGGAAATCTCCGCAAAGCTTACCACAACATAAAAGATCACAGAACCAACATCAAATGGTACCATTCAGAATACGATAGATAACACGAGCTTGCGTAGGGGTGACAAACTGCTTGTGAGAAAAGATGGTAGAAAAGCGTGTTTCAGCCAAAGGAGAATAAAACTGAAGAGAAAATGCATTACCAACAGTAAGAAGACTGTCTGGACCATCACCCTCGACTTCAGAAACGTTTTGTTCTTTTTCAAGAGGAGAAAGTTCCTTGTCCGCAGCATGT